AGCCTGGCCCCCCCCTTTCCAAGTTCAGCAGCAGATAGGAAACTGCGCGGTTTCTCTTGGCCCCTGTCTCACTTCTCCAGGAGAACAATGTCCACAGGTTTCCCATATGCACTGATGCTGGGCCCGAACACAGGAATGGCCTTTTAGATGCCGCATTTAAGGCTTCTCAGGCTGAGAGGTGAGTCAGCTGTCTAAAGAACGTCCACAAGAAAGGAGAAAGTGCTCGGTGATCACTTGGTATGCACCTGCCTGCCCAGTGTTTCTGTGCATTGCTTTTCCTTCGTTTTCGTGGGAGCAGGAGAGGTAGCAGTGTTCATGTGGTTTTCAAACGCCCCCCTGGTTATAGGATCCGAAACTGCTTACGTGTGAATCTAAGTAACTACTTGCCAAAGGCCTAACAAAGGTGGCGCCCCCACAGGCTGACAATAGGAGCAGCGATCACGCCAGTGCAATGGCCCTACATGGCACCTAGATGTGCCGACACCAGGGGAACAGGCCTGCTGGTCCTGCACACCAGACATTTCTCTGACAGAGAGGACCAGGGGTCACCATGGGCTGAGGGCAAGCGGCCTCCAGGTCCCAAGGAAGCAGAAGAAAAGGCCCATGCCCCCACTCCAAGCCATGGCCAAGGCCCCTTGTGCTCTAACTCAGATGGCAGTGGGATCCAGAGAGCCCTGAGCTAGACGCCTCACACCTAGCTGCTGGCCCAAGAGACATGAGCACCCCAGGGCCTCCCTCAGCCCTCAAGAGCCTGTCCCCACTCTCCATCCCATCTGCCCCTGCTCATGGGTGGAGAAGTGGACAAACTGAAATGCTCTGGTCTCTGCACCCGTGACCCACTTGGGTGTGGCGACCACGTCCCAGCAGGAGACAGCTCAGTCACACCCAGGCCGGCTGTAGGGGAGAACCGCAAGCAGCCCACTGCCCACCGGGCCCCGTGCCCAGCTACTGCCCACATAGGGGGCCAGGGCACCAGATGTGTTGGTGAAAGATGCTCAGAGAGAAGGTCTCTCTCCCTCGTTTCAATTCTAGGAATTCCCCAATGAATGTGCGGGGAGATTTCCCTCCTTCACAGCCGCCTCTGCAAGACACCTGCTGTTTCTGCCTCCAAAGGGCCCCAGGAGGCCTGATGGCAATTCAGGGCATAAGTTCCAGGGCTCTACTCAACTGCTGGAAGTGATGCCTGAGGTCATTGAGGACAGATTCCATTCAGCCCCTGGGAAAAGTCTGTCAACCACGTCCAGAGGCCTCCGTTCCGACCCCCTACACAACTGAACCCCTGTACTCCCTTCTCAGCTGCAGCACCAGGCCCAGCACTTCTGCCAGAGGTCACAGGTCTTGTGGGTGGGAAACCTGCTTCTGCACCTCACCCCAATGTGCAGGCTGCGAGGGGACCACAGAACCCTTCCATCAGGCTCCAAGGGAAGGGCCACCTCAAGGCAGCACCTCCACCCCACTCCATGCCACTCAGCCCAGGCTGACACCCTCACCTGATGTCCATGGAGCGTGTAGAGCAGCCGGCCCTCCATGAGGTCCAGGATCTTCAGGGTTGAGTCGCTGGAGGCTGTGACCAAGTAGCTTCCCGACGGGTGGAAGGAGAGGGCATTCACCGCCGCACTGTGCACTGGAGGAAAGACGTCACTCAGATGGGCTGGGAGGCCCACGAAGCCAGAAGACAGGCCAGAAGGCTCGGCACAGGTCTGGGCCGGGGCGGCCATTGCCCAGAGTTGCTATGAAGAGCCCCACAAGGACCTCCCAGGAGAGCAGCACAAACAAAGGACAGGAGGAGACTCATCCAGAGATGAGGGCAGGCAGCGGGAGACGCAGGGCAGGCGGGGGAGCACGTGTGGCAAGGCCAGAGAGATCAAGCTATTCCTCCGCCTCTCCCTCCTCACCAAGCAGTCAAGCTAGAGCCAAACAGAGTGCTCAAACATAATGCTCAATCTGTCTCACATGCTGCTACGTCAGGGAAACCAAATGGAAAAGAAAACCCCTGGAAATGCCAATATGATGCCCCTGCCCTGGGGGAAAGGATGGGCATGGGAGCAGGCAAGAAAACAGCTTAAGACCCACTCTCAGGAGCCAGTCAGGCCCGGGTTCCAATCCCAGCCTCTTGACTGACCCACCCCGGGACCCTGAGCGAGCATCTTCACACACTGAGCCCATTTCTCCTTCTGTGGCAAAGCACCCACAAGTTAGGGTGTTGTAGGCATGCTACCAGGTGAAGCCTGTGAGGCCTCTGTACAGAGTGAGCCCTGATGTCCCTCTCAGCTACCCCAGGCATCCCATGCTACTCCAGGTCCTGCCTTTTAACCCACTCGACAGCTCAAGCCCATCCACGATTCTTCCCCACTGCTCTAGCCCAAGCCCCACCATCCATGCTGGTGTCCCTCGCTCTCCAAGATCTGGCCACACCAGCCCTGTCAGCTCCCTGGCTGTGGGACCTTCCCACCCCTTGTTCCCCCTGGTCCGGGAAGACTCTTGCCCGCCTCTTCCCCAGACCCTGCAGCTCACTCACTGCTCAGTCACCTCCTCAGGGAAGTCTCCCCTGACCTCGCCATCAGGGTCACCCCCTTGTCTGGTCCCTCCTGAAGCACCGTGAGTCTCTTCACAGCAGGGTTTTTACGTTTATGTGCAGCTATTTGGTTCCCGGCTGGGTCCCCCATGAGACCATGTGCTCCATCAGGCAGGGGGCTGTGTTGGGTCCTTGGCTCCTGGCTCAGTGCCTGACACTGAGTGGGACTCAAAAAGCAGTTGGTCAGTAGGTGAACTGGACCAGGCAGGCCACATGGAGACATCAACGTAGAGCAGCTGCTGAGGAAGACCCAGGTGCCTTTGTACCCATTAACACAGGCCTCGTGAGCAAAACCAGAGGGGCTAGGATAACCATGACCCCGCCAAGTCAGAACTGCCACAAACATAAAGGCAAATTCTAAAGTCAACCCCTCATCCTGGCACCGTGAGACTGCAGGAACCACTACTGGACCAGTAAACACACCCACCATGAAACGGCCCTCAGTAGAGCTGACAGAGGTACACGAAGCCCCTCAGACACCAGGTCAGCCGATGTGCAGACATGTCGGGGAGTGTGGATTCACGTTCCCAAGCATACTTAGGGGAGACACTAGGGCTTTACGTAACACCATCTTTAGGTCTAAACACTCTCCCAGCACCAGGAACTCCAAGAGACGGGCTGGAGTGCGGCTGATGGGGTCTCCAGAGCCAGCTCCTGGAGGCGGAGTCCAGAGCCCCACAGCCAGACGCTCTCCCACACTCAGGGCCATGAGGCAGGGGGCGGCACCCTCAGTGTTTACCAGAAACGGGGGCATGGAGAGAAGAGAAAAAAAGCCAGAGCTGACCCCAGCAGAACTGAACAGGCACCGGCCACAAGCAGCAGCAGAAAAAACGCTAGTAGCGCACAGGGTGTGCCTGTGACTCCCCACGTGTGGGGGGCACACCCATGTGTGCAGACCCAGAGGAAGGTATGGACAGAAGCTCCAGATACAGAGCACGGGTGCTCTCTGGGGAGGACAGGAATAGGGGGACTTCTAATTATTACTCTACATACTTCCAGAAAATATTTTTTCAGCATTAAAATATAGTCACTATGATTATACAACTGAGTAAATGATAAAAAGTGAATCCTTCCCTCCCCCAAGCGAGTGTGTCACGCCTGGGGAGAAGGAGACCCAGGCTCTGCAGGCGCTTCAGGTTGTGCTTCTATAGGCTGCGAGCTAGTGTGCTCCTGAGGGGCTGGCTGTGCTCGCCAGAACGCTGGTTCACACCTGTGGTGAGTGGGGGTGGGAGAGGGGCACAAACACTGCGAGATCCCCCTGAGGAGTCCCGCCCACCCCGACCCCTCGGCCCACAGTAGGACAGCTTTGAGAGGCAGCTGCCCTCCATCCATCTCACCACGCCCCAATCTCCCCTTGGGCCTCCTTAGATGCTGCTCCTGGTGCATCTGCCTCACTGAGCCTGGAGAAGGGCGCGCTATTCTTGCTTCTGCAGCTCCTGGCAGCCTGTGCTGGCATGAACAGCCCCCCAGCCCCTCCCCGAGACAAAGCTGGCAGGGGACAGCCAGCAGCAGCGTGGATCGGGGGAGGCAAGCTCAGGAAACACAGGGCTTGCCCAGCACCAGCAGGGCGGCAGGGGCAGGGCGTGGTTACCAGCCAGGTTCTCCCACCTGGTCAAGCCCACCCAAGGGAGGGAACCGCCGCCCATCCCCCCAACCGGCCCAGGGAGGTGTGCCCGAGGCCTTGCTCTACTATTAATGGCAGAAATACCTGAGGCCTCTTGGCTGGGGTAGAAATATCTGGAACCATTTGCTCCAAAACAGGGCTCAGCCTGGCAAGCCAGGCTTTTGGGAATGTGCCAGCCCCACCTTTCCCCACTCGCTCTCCTGCCTCACCCACCGGCCCCACCAGCCTCGAGCAGCCTCTCTGGCTCTGCCGAGGGTGGGGCTGTACCAGGGAGGCCTCACAGAATCAGCCCTGCATGACAGTCTCCCACAGAGGCCCGGCTGCCCCACGAGGGGGTGAGCCTCCCGTCATGAAGCCCTGAGCAGGGACGGCACACAAACAATCCACTTTTCACCAAGCTCAAAGTTGCAGGCCCTCTGCCTAGCTCCATGGCAGACATGGGTGACAGCTGATGGCAGGCTGCCATTTGGGCACGATGTGGGCTACACCCCACCCCCACCGCGACCCTAAAGAAGGGACTCCAGCTCAGAGTCAGAGATGTACCAGCGTCAATGTTCTATAGGTCACCAGGATGCCAGGGAGGGTGGGACTGAGGCCACTGCAGACCCTGCCCCCAAGTACTGGGAACGGGCCACAGCCTGCAGGCAGCAGGTGGCCTAAGGAGAGACCTGGCTATCCACAAGCTGCCCGCACAGCTCTGCTTGTAGAACCCTCAGCAAATCTGGCCCACTGCCCAGTGGGTTCCAAACTGGCCATGGGGCCCACAGAGACCCACAGGTGCCCAAGGTGCCCAAGCAGGAGGTCTCCTTCTGGGGCAGGCCACGCCAGCGCCGAGCCCCACCACATGCCCACCAAAAGGGGCTCGGCTTGCTCTGCCAGGGTGGCCTCTCAAAACGCACAACTGGCATTACTAGTGACACAGTGGCTGTGAGCTCACAAGAGGCTGTGGGTTCACACAGTGAAGGTGCTCTGACACCAGCAGCAAAGGACACTCCAAACAGTCATCTCGTGAATGTCATAGGAACACCCGCTCAGGGATGGTGGGCAAGAGCTGCTGAGTTGGCCAGAGCAGGTAGGACGGTGCACTGCCTCCTGATCAACCCTTTCGGTCTCCAAACGCCAAAAAGGGTGCAGGCCTGCCCTGCTGGTTGCACAGCAGCTTTAAAACCCTCCGTGATCATGTCTGGGGTAGAGAGGGGGTCCAGGGACGTGCTAAGGACCAGTGGACAGAGAAGCTGGGACTCTGAGCTCTAACTGGAGTTTCTGGAGAGAGCCAAGCCAAGCCAAGCCCTCTCGGGGGCCTCAGGCAAGTAAATGAGTAGAATCAACACGGTGAGAGGAACCCATAGCTTCCCAGCTGCGTGACCCGGGCAAGCCTCAAACACCCCATCTGTGAAATGCCCTGCTGACCACTCAGGCCTGTCCCTGGATAATGAACCTGCATGTGCCTGGAAACCGCAAAGCACATTAAGGGATCCGGGACAGGGCTGCTGCTGCTCAGATGTCTGAACAGTCTTAGTGTGGGCTCAGAGCATATGGAGCCTAACCCACCTCCGTGGGGACTGGCACTCCCGGGGCTCCAGTGCCCCAACAACTCCTTGCTGAATTGGGAAATCAGAACTGTTCCCTGCAGTGACAGGCCAGAGCAAGAAACTCCTCGCCTGAGACAAATGGTGCCAGCTGCCTGCTGTAGCCCAGAGTGATTCCAACAACCCAAAATGGGACCGGAAGTGCCCTCCACGGAGCAAGAGCATGGCGGCTGGCCACAGGCTGGCTGCGCTTGCTGGCCACACGTTTGCAGTATCATGAACCAATTTCTCTCAGAAGAGCCCAACAGCCTTATGCGCCCAAAGCCCAATCAGAGAAGACACTGGATGTCACTGTCCTTAAACACTTCCCCCTGGGTATCCTAGGGGTCAGGGACAGAAAACAGCTCAGGTGCCTGCTACCGGGGGGCTGGGAGCCCTACTTGGGCAATCAGCTTCCCAAGAGATCCCCCGGCACCTCTTCTGGGTGGGGGGACAGCTGCTACTCAGGGGCTAGGAGGGTCTCTCAGGTAGAAGGTTCTGCCATGGAACTCTCTAGGGGAGCTGCTGAGCACACCTGACCAGGTCCCTCCCCAGCAAACAGGGTGAGGACTGTCCGCCGCAACCAATGAGCTCAGACCTGCCAGGCTCTCCTTGAGCCCCGGAGGCTGAGCCTGGAGGTGGTGGGATGAGTCTGCTGCCTTGTGAATACACACCGTGTGCCATGCATTGGGCAGGGAGCTCAGAGGGAACCGGGTTATTTATGGGGTACTCCAGGCCCCCTGAAGCCTCTGGTCTCTATTAGGGGTGGCTTAGGAATAAGATGCTGCAGGCTCTCTGAGTGGCTCTATCACAAGAGGAAAAGAACAGCAGCAAAAACAGACTGAAATCTCACTGTGGAGCCTGTCAGCCTCATGCACCTCAGGTCCCCTCAGGACTTGACCTCTGATGCTATCCGAGTCCACCCCCACCCCTGGGCCCTGCCAGTCACTGATCTCCCACCCCCACCCACTGCCAAGCCTGCTCCCCCAGGAATCTCTCCCCAGCACCCTCCACTCTCAACTGCTCTGCATCATGCCACCCCCTGACCACCCTCTTTAGGAGACCCTGCTTTCCTTCAGTCCCCTGGCTCTGCTCTCCTCAGCCCTCCATCACGGTTTTCTAAGCGGGCTCCCCCTGCTCACTCTGGCTGCTTGTGGACCTTTTTCTTCCACAGCCCCTCAATCACAGGGATGCAGGGTGTGGCCTTCTCACACCCCAGATCCCTAGGCCCAGCTGGCCCCTCCACCCCATAGCATCAGCTTCTGCCTCTATTCAATCTCCAAAACCCACCTCCTGGGCCTGACCCCTGCCCCACTCTGATGCCCAGCTCTCACCCGACATCGGGCATTGACAGCCCACCCACCAGTCACCTAGGCACATGGCTTCCTACCCAAGCAGGCTCTCAGCACTGCTGTCCTCTCAGATGCCCCTCACCCTTTCACCCGTCCCAGCACTTCCAGCCAGGCTGCATCTTTGGGACCCTGGGCTAGAGCATGGCATTCAAGGCCCTCCCCGGCAGGTACCTGTTGCTGCACCTCACCAACACCAGACCTAGGTTCCTGATCCATTAGAGGTGGGCCTGGACTCTCCCCGGGTCACCTGGAGATTCTCTTCACCAGTATCAAGATTTACGTCGTACAAACAATGTACCCAGTAGTATATTGTAATCCTCATGTGGATTCTCCCATCAGATCCTCACAAACCCCATAAGGCAGGCTACCACCACCCCTTCACAGACAGGAAACAGAGCCCGTACTCCTAACTACTGCTCTGCCTCATCACCTCCCTTCCCGTCTCTCCCTGTCCAAGTCCTCCCTCCTGACCCCACACTCAGAGGTGGCCTTCCTGCCCAGCACTCCTCTGCATCTCCCACCTTCCGCCCAGTCAGCTACGTAGATGTACCCAGTCTCCAACTCAGGCCTGGCCCAGAGCAGGAGGAGGAAGGCCTCTGAGCCTGAAGGAGAGGAGGGAGAGGCGTGGTCTCCAAGTAGAGGGCAGACCCTGCTGGGGCTCTGTTCAGGAAGCCTCTGTCTGAAACAGCATCAGTGACAAACCCCAGGACTCCCTGTTGAGTAAAGAACCATTCCCATGGTTGGCCCCTGCCACCTGGTGGTGGTGTACAGTACTGCAAGCCTGGACCAACTGGGCCCGCCTTGCTGGGAGACCAGACCTCCTGACTGAGACTCAGCATCACTGTCACTGTCACTAACACTGTGCCTGGTTCCTGTTTTGTGTGAGGCACTCTGTAAATTCTTGTCATGGACCAACTAACTCATTACCCTCCCAACACCACCTAAGAAAGTGGGGGCCCAGAGAAGTCAAGTAATCTGCCCAAAGTCACACAGCTAAAAATGCTGAAGCTGGGTGCAGAGCCACCCTCCACCATGTGCTTTTCAAGACCAGGATCCACTCCCCCTTCTTGGAAGGTCTGTTCCCTCAGTTACCCCAAGAAAGTCCTGGCCTCAAACATCTGAGAATTGGAAGGGCTTGTGGGGGGTGTTAAAGGGAGAGCTCTGAACCCCACGCCCCACACTTTTCTCCAGATATGTCCTTCCCATTTTCAGGTGTGAATTTTGGAAGTGAGCCCATGGACTTGAAACTTAATCCCAAGTCAACAACCACAGTTCTTTAAACAACGCCAGCTCTGACTCTCCCTGGTCTCAGCCCTGAGCCCCCAGGCCTGCCCACCCATTCTGCCCCCTGCACAACTCCCAGTTCCTCCTGTGGCCCCTCACCAGTTTCCTTCCCTGGGCCCCATCCCCACAACTGGGGTGACTTAGGACTCTGCCCAGTCATACCTGCTCTGAGGCCAGTTCCATATCCCAGTACCTTCAGCTCTCTCATCGTAAGCTCACCCAAGTCTGCCCCCACTCCCACCTCCCTCCTGCAGCCCAATACCAGCCCGCTGCCCTGCCTTCCAAGGGCTATAATTAAATATATATATAAATAAGGGGACACAGCACCGGGGCTGGCTTCCAAGCCTGGCTCCCTACCAAATCAACCCTCCATATGGCTCATGGCTCCACATCAGTGGAGGACACTGTGGAACCAGAGGTGGCCAAGGTCCCACGAACACTGTTTTTTTTTTTTTTTTTGGT